AGAAGAGAGGTCTAAGGACCCAGGAGTCCGTGGGCCAGGGCACCTGTGTGGCAGTGGGAAGCTGTCCTGCCTGCCTCTGCCGTCTTGATACCTGGAAATCTGAGCAGGAGGCTGGATTATGGAGTGACGCGCTGTGGATCTGCAAGGACTATGTGCCCGGCCAGTTGGAGGCTCTGCAGGAAGAGTATGAGCAGGAAGCTACTAAGAAGGGGGCCAGGTATGAGACCAGAGGTCCAGCAGCAGTGGCAGGGCTGGGAGGGCCATGAGGCATGCACAGGACAGAGCACACTGCCCCCCCATGCCTAGTCCCAGTGCTCCAATCTCCACAGGGGTGTGGAGGGACTTGTGGAACAAGCTCGACACTGGGAGCAGGCTGGAGAGTACAGCCGTGCCGTGGACTGCTAGCTCAAAGTGCGAGACTCTGGAAACAGCGGCCTGATGGAGAGGTGCTGGATGAAGGTGAGGGCAGTAGGCTCTTTCGGGCCCTCCTTCTTCCTAGGCCTCCATTCACACTCAGCTTCCCTTCTCACATCTACAGCTGTCTCTGTGTCTTTTCCTTTTCAATCAGGTAGCAGGAATCTGTGGAGTGCCTTTTGGATGGTAGAGCCAGAACCTCTGAAGGCTGTTAAGCAGATATAAGACAGAATCCTGACAGCGAAAAGTTAGGGGAGTTGGACTAACACATGGCTCAGTTAATATCATATCAGAGTAAAGACCAAATTACATGACTTAGAGTTAGGAATTATGGTGAGCAAAGAAAAGTCAAACTTGGTGTTTTCGAAGTGATTTTTACAACTTTAAAAATCACTGGGCTGGGCACGGTGGCTCACATCTGTAATCCCAGCACTTTGGGAGGCTGAGGCGGGTGGATCATCTGAGGTCAGGAGTTCGAGACAAGCCTGGCTAACATGGTGAAACCCCATTTCTACTAAAAATACAAAAAATTAGCCGGGCATGGTGGCCAACGCCTGTAATCCCAGCTACTCGGGTTTGGTGGTGCATGCCTGTAATCCCAGCTTTGGGAGGCTGATACAGCAGAATCGCTTGAACCTGGGAGACAGAGGTTCAAATCTCCCAACTTCAATCCTTTTTCTTTTTTGAGACGTAATTTTCCTCTTGTTGCCCAGGTTGCAGTGAGCTGAGATCGTTCTGTTGCACTCCAGCCTGGGCAACAAGGGTGAAACTCCGGCTCAAAAAATAAAAAAAAAAACAAATCATGTCTTGATATGCCATCCTTTCCAACTTTGTTCCTGCAGTATTACTTAATTCATTTTTCTAAAATACCATTCTGTTGGCTTCTGGCCAACAACCTTCACAATGATGACCCCGTGCCATCTATATATTGTCCAAAATGCTTTCATTCTCTTAATGGCCCCAGACAAGGCTTTTAGAAAGCTCTGTGCTGCATTCTGGTGTGTGTGGTGGCGTGATCTGTAGTCCCAGCTACTCGGGAAGCTGAGGCAGGAGAATCGCTTAAACCTAGTAGGTGGAAGTTGAAGTGAACTGAGATTACGCCACTGCACTCCAGCCTGTGACAAAGTGAGATTCTGTTCCAAAAAAGAAACAAAAAAGGAAGAAGAATGCTTTGGCCTGTTTTATTAATCTTTGTTATAGCATGAATTGATTCCTTGTACATTTTTTGTGTAGTGAATTAGCCCTGGAGAATCCATTCATATCTGGATGACCTGACAGAATAAATGTTCCAGACTTGGAAAATGAGACTGTAGATTCTGGGGCAGAGTGATCCTCTAAGGTCATTTAATTTCCCTCTCTGACATCTCTTTTCTGTCCCAGTGCAATAGCAGCTAGGAAATGTGTCAAGCCTTAGATTTAGGAAACTGTATGTCTCAAATGTTCTGAGAGTACCTACTTAAAATGTCCTAGCTTTCTTTAGTTTACTTGATCTTGTATTCTAGTTTGTGGTTTGGGACATTTAACCCCATACCTGGACTTCTAGGGAGTGACTGGCTCTAGAGAAAATGCTTGTAGAGCAGAACAGGCCACTTGGAAGGCCTGCTTCTTTGAAACCTTGCCTCTATACTCCCTACTTAATGACAAGCTGTCTAGCCCAGTCCTAGAAGAGTCATAAAGGAGTTCTTCCCTGAGTTTGGCTGTCAGAGCAGAGCCTATGGACCGCTGCAGGAAGGGGCAGCAGATGCTACTTTGGGTGTGGCTCAGAGAAGAGACCTAAGCAGCATGCACACTGACTGCATGCTGTCAGATTTACCTTGGAAAGCCCATTGTGATGTCACATGAAGTCACAGCCTGGAGGCAGAAAACTCATCGGCCGAGAAGAGCACCTGGTTGAAAAATGGCACCAATTTGGGGGATGGACATCCCACTGCCATCATGTATCAGCCTTTTATTATTATTTGTTTTTTTTATTTTGGGGCTTTGGATGCTATTTTCTGGGAATCAGAGCTGGAAGCAGGTGCCAGCCAAGATAAACTCAGAGGTATGTGATGTAGCCCTCCCTTGAAACTCACTGGTCCCTGCTCCTGAGGCCATAGAAACTCCTATACTTTGGGCCAGGGAAGGAATTGGATGTGGGGAGAGGGAAGCAGAGACAGTGCCCATGGATGTCTTCCTATAGGTCACTATAAATCATTTTTCCTTTAATTCATTTCAACAGTCTTTGAGCACCTGTTATATACGGCAGTGTAGTAGACATTGAGGAAGAATAAAAAGCTATCCCAACTTTCTAGGAGCTCGAGGTGAAGTAGGGGAGACAGATAGTCACATAACTTCAAGGAAAGAGAATGTGTTAAGAGTTAATAGATGTATAAATGTTGCTAAAGACATGGGAGGTAGACAGCATTTGAACTAGGGGCTCTACAAACTGCCGTCAGGGAGAGCTCAGGTTTGAGTATGCTTCAGAGGAAGAGTGGGATTTGGAAGGTGGTTGGGGTGAATACATTGGAAAAAAGGCATGGGAAAGGGAAGAGTATTGGATATGTTTGAGGAGAGATTGTAGTCCTGTGAGGACTGCATTCACCAATCTGGATGGAATATAGAACTGTAGGGACTCAGAGCGAGAAAAGGTTGAAAAGTTGACAGAGGTCACATTGTAGTTTTGAACGCCAGGCTGAATAATTTGTGTAAATAACACTCTGTGCAGTTTGAAAGATATCAAAGATTTTAAAGCCAGGCAAAAATGTGCTTAGATCTGTGCTTTAGAGCAATGCTTCTCAAACTTTAACATGCATATGTATCACCTGGGGGGTCTTGTTAAAAAGCAAATTCTGATGTAGGAAGTCTGGGGTAGGGATAGAGTTTCTACAGTTCTAACAAGCTCCCAGGTGATGCTGCTGCCCTTGGACCGGGACCACACTTTAAGAGTGAGGCTTTAAATACCTCCAGCAAGCTTTTATTATAGTTCTCTGGCATAGCTAGGCCATTTTAATGGTTTAGTGGGAAGAAGGGAGGAAATAAAAGAATAAGAGCAGTACGGTGAAAGGAGAATGTAGCCGGGCGTGGGGGGGGCTTACGTCTGTAATCCCAGCACTTTGGGAGGTTGAGGTGGGTGGATCACTTGAGATCAGGAGTTCAAGACCAGCCTGGCCAACATGGTGAAACCCTGTCTCGACTAAAAATACTAAATTAGCCAGGCGTGGTGGCATGCACCTGTAGTCCCAGCTACTGGGGAGGCTGAGACACGAGAATCACTTGAACCCAGGAGGTGGAATTTGCAGTGAGCTGAGATCACGCCACCGCACTCCAGCTTGGGCAACAAGAGGGAAACTCCGTCTAAAAAAAAAAAGAGAACATAAATTAATTCCTCAAATGTTTATCCCACCCCTCTCCCCCCACTTGCCCTCCTCTGTGCACTATTGATACAGCAATAAGTGGAAGAGATGGAAGTATCTGCTGTCAGGGATGTGAAAGTGGAGGTGGTCTTGGGGTGAACGTTTGCATGTGGAAGGTGATGCAAGACTCCCTTGCAAAGGAGGGAGAAGGGACTGAGTCTATTTTTCTTTATGCAAAGAGTCAATCATAAATATTCTCATCATTTTCTATGAGGACTACATTCATCACGGCATTTCCAGTGCCTAGTATACTGCCTGGCATATTCGTAAGTGCTCTGGAGTTGTTTGTGAAATGAATAAAAGACTTCTCAATCTTAACCCTGAATGACTCACAAGATGATAGTGTTTTAAACAACATAGGCAACATTAGACAGGCAAAGTTGTGAATGTGGTAGAAGGCAGAAAATCAACTATTGTATTGGAAGTGCTTGTAGAATTTATGTGGAGATATTCATCAAGCATCTGAAATTAATGGCCGAGACCTGTGATGTTCAATATTGTATCCACTAGTCATATGTGACCATTTCAATTTTTTATTTTTGAGACAGGGTCTCACTCTGTCACCCAGGATGGGGTACAACTCACGGCTCACTGCAACCTCGAACTCTCAAGTTCAAGTGATTCTCCCACCTCAGCTTCCCAATTAGCTGAGACTACAGGCCTATGCCATCATGCCTGGCTATTTTTTGTATTTTTTTGATAGAGACAGGGTATCACCATTGTGCCCAGGCTGGTCTCAAACTCCTAGGCTCAAGCAATCCACGCACCTCAGCCTCCCAAAGTGCTGGGACTACAGGCGTGAGTCACCACACCTGGCCGTAAATTAATTAAAATTAAATAAAATTTAAAATTCAGTTTCTGGCTGGGCGCAGTGGTTCACACCTGTAATCCCAGCACTTTGGGAGGCTGAGATGGGTGGATCACGTGAGGTCAGAAGTTGGCGACAACCCTGTCTCTACTGAAAATACAAAAATTAGCTGGGTATAGTGGCACGTACCTGTAGTCCTAGCTACTTGGGAGGCTGAGGCAGGAGAAGACCTGAACCTGGGAGGTGGAGGCTGCAGTGAGCCAGGATGGTGCCACTGCACTGCACTCCAGCCTGGATGACAGAGCAAGACACTGTCACAAACAAACAAAGCACACACAGAACCCCCAAAACTAATTGTGTCACTCTGCTAAAAGTAACTAAGCACACAAAAGTTCTCTGTACCCTGTTGTCTGCAGCAGCATTTTCAAACCTTTTTGACTCTCAAACTTCTTTCACTCTCATACTTTTGTCAACCTCCTTAGGAACTTAAGTATTTTGTCCATTTTCTCATAACATGTAAATTATATTAGGTAAATTTTATTTTAAAACAATAACTTTTTATAATTGGAAAGTTATTTGAACATCATCTTAAAGTATAAAGTCAAATGTCTACTTTTTCTTCTGTAACAAGTGATGCATGACATTTAATTGACTTTAAGTATATTAGGTATGATAATTTTCACAACAGTTGGGTATGAGAAATGGCAAGGGTTTTGTTTTTGTTTTTTGTCTATATCAAACATAATCTAGCTTAAGCCTCCCTTTACCTAGGTTGGCAAAAAATGTCCAACCTTTGTGTTGTATAAGAATTCCAAAGTTACTCAGGAGGCTGTGGCAGAAGAATCGCTTGGACCCAGGAGGCAGAGGTTGCAGTGAGCCGACACTGCGCCACTGCACTCCAGCCTGGTGACAGCAAGACTCTGTCTCAAAAAAAAAAAAAAAAAAAAAAAAAAAGAGTTCCAGAGTTTCTGCAGTTTATCCAGAGTAGAAGTGGGTCAGGCCCTTAAGTCACAGGGATAGCTCTTGCTTTTCTTCTTAGCCGTCTAAAGGACTGCTGGCATTTCAGGGAGCCAGCTTCCTTCCTGTCTCAACCCTCTGGGACCTTCAGCTTAAAATTTTCACAGATCTAGACTTATTTGAGGGTTGTTTTTTTTGGTTCTTGACCATTTTTCAGCCCTGAAAAACTAACTCCCTGCTGTGCATTAGGAGTTCCAAGACCCTATGAACAAAGGCCTGACTACCTTCTTTGGTACAGGGAAGCATAAATCCACTTTCTTTGTCAGAAAGATGCAGCAATAAAAATATAGTGTAAATTACTCAGGAAGTCACTCTGCCTCATAAAACAACGAATATAATTTCTTACTACATATTTATGTAATAAAATTTTTTTGTTAACAAACACATTTTTATTAAGGTACAATTGAATACCTTAAAATGCACAGATCTTAAGAGTATAGGGTGATGAGTTTTGATAAATTTATATACCCATGTAACTAAACCCTGATCAAGATATACCTTAGCCATAGCCCTGAATGGAAAGTCTCTGCCCTCCTCTCTGTTCAGACACAACCTCTATTCTGATTTCTATGGTCATGGATTAGTTTTGCCTATTCTTTTTTTTTTCTGAAGAAGTTAAAAGTTAAATTTAAAAATATCTTAGAACAAATAAAAGTGTAAAAAGCAACATACCAAAACTCATGGAATGCAGCAAAAACAGTTAAAAGGGAAATTTATAGCAATAAATGTTCTATGCTTTGAATATTTTGTCCTTTCAAAACTCAGATCTAAATGTTATCCCCAATGTGGCAGCATTGTGAGGGATTCTTTTTTTTTCTTTTATTATTATACTTTAAGTTTTGAGATACATGTGCAGAATGTACAGGTTTGTTACATAGGTATACAAGTGCCATGGTGGTTTGCTGTACCCATGAATCCATCATTTACATTAGATATTTCTCCTATTGCTATCCCTCCCCTAGCCCCTCCATCCCCATGACAGGCCCCAGTGTGTGATGTTGCCTTTCCTATGTTCATGTGTTCTCATTGTTCAACTCCCACTTATGAGTGAGAACATGCGGTGTTTGGCTTTCTGTTCTTGTGTTAGTTTACTGAGAATGATGGTTCCCAGCTTCATCCATGTCTCTGCAAAGGACATGAACTCATCCTTTATGACTGCATTGTATTCCATGGCGTATATGTGCCACATTTTCTTTATCCAGTCGATCATCAATGGCCATTTGAGTTGGTTCCAATTCTTTGCTATTGTGAACACTACAATAAACATACATGTGCATGTATCTTTATAGTAGAATGATATATAATCCTTTGGGTATATACCCAGTAATGGGATTGCTGGATCAAATGGCATTTCTGGTTCTAGATCCTTGAGGAATCGCCACACTGTCTTCCATAATGGTTGAACTAATTTACATTCCCACCAACAGTGTAAAAGCGTTTCTATTTCTCCACATCCTCTCCAGCGTCTGTTGTTTCCTTTTTAATGATCACCATTGTAACTGGCATGAGATGGTATCTCACTGTTGTTTTGATTGGCATTTCTCTAATGACCAGTGATGATGAGCTTTTTTTCATATGTTTGTTGGCCACTAGTTCTGCCTATTCCTGAACCTTGCAAAAAATAGAATCATACAGTATATGTTCTTGTGTGTCTGACTTCTTTTGCTAAACATAATGTGTTTGAGATTCACACATGTTGTTGACAACAAATTTTTTTTTTTCCAAGACAGAGTCTTGCTCTGTCACCCAGGCTGAAGTGCAGTGGTACAATCTCAGCTCACTGCAGCTTCCACCTCCCAGATTCAAACCGTTCTCTTGGCTCAG